AACAAAATTCCTTTTAATGCCATGGAGTTAGGAGGTAAAACAATAGTTATAAATAGCGTTTTAATTCCTAAAAGTTTAGAACCTTTTAGATACTTCGGGATTGTGACCCTTTTTCCCCCTGCTACTCTAAGGTCCTCACCGAACAGGTATCTTCCTATTAGAATTCCTGTAGCATGTCGTGAACTTGCTGCTTATTCCATCATTCCCGTTTCATTTACTAGCTTACGCCCTCCCTCAAAGACGGGCCTGAGTCTTAGTTTCTAAGAGATACAATAAAGATAAGCTGACACGCATGTTGTTTGTATGCTTTGTGCTTCCCCATTTTCAGTCTGCCTCTCAGTTTATCTTGATGTGTGCAGGAAGGTAGAAGCTATGATCAGCCCGTGTTTCTGCCACTCTGTTAGTTGCTGTGTGTCTGGTCCAGTTGATGGTGACCCCAACTGTGTGTGGGGTTTGAAGGCTGCGACCTTTGGGAAGCAGAGCGCCAGGACTGTCTTGTAAGGTGCCTGTCGGTGGGCTCAAACTGCTAGCAGTTCTGACTTGTAGTTGAGTGCTTAGCCATAATTAGCCCCACCTTAGGGGTTGTATCACCCAGGAATTCTCATAGGGTTGGCAGATTTTTTTTCTATCTGTTTTTTATTGTAAATCAGGTTGGGGGTGGTGGTGGAAGATGTACATTTCTTATAGTCAACTTTATATTCAGCTGTCTAAACTACTACAACCCCCACTCCCACTTGTGTACCCTTCACCTGCTGCTTGATTTCCTACCTCTGTCTAGTGGACTTCTGTCTACTACTACTAGCTCCCATTACAAGTTAATAGCGGTCACCGGCCTAGCTGATTGCATTATCGTCGATCCCTTGCCTTCCTGCCCCCACTGGGCACTCTCTAAAGTCGGTTCCCTTGCATATGAAAGTCTTGATCTTGGTGGACCCCTGCTCCCCCACCCCCACCCCTTACAGCAGTGGTCTCAGAATATTTGCCCTTTTGCGATTAACTAATTTTACTCAGCATGATCATCTCCAGGTCCAGCCGTTGTCACATGGTGCTTCAAGGTTTCTTCTTGGTTTTTTTTTCTTAGCAATGCATAGTGTTCCATTGTGTGCATGTACCAGAGTTTCTCTGCCCATTCTTCTACTTACTTTTGTGAACAGTGCTGCACTGAACATGGGTGTGCCTATGTCTGTGTTATGACTCTTAATTCTTCAGCAAAGGGATGGCTGGATCTATTGGAATTTCCACTCCCAGTTTTTTGAGGTAGCACTACATCGATTTTCACAGTGGCTGCATGGATTTGTATTCCCACCGGCAGTGCATGAGGGTTCCACTCTCCACAGCCTCTCCTGCGTTGATTTTCGGTATTACTGCACTTGGCTGTCAGTCAGTGTATGGTGGTATCTCGTTGTGGTTTTGATGTGCTCTCCCCAAAGGCCGGTGATCGTGAGCATTTCCACGCTGCACGTTTGGTGGCCATTTGGATGTCATCTTCAGAGAGCTGACTGTTCATGTCCTCTGCCCATTTTTAATTGGGTTCTTTGTCTTTAATACACACAGCTTTTTATTTAAACACACGCTTGGTGCTAACCACAGGTTGAACATGAACCCACCAACTAATGGCTCAACAAGACACAGATGGGGCTTTCTACTCCCATAAAGGTTTACAGCCTCAGAAATCCAAAGGTGCAGTTCTACTCTGCCTTATAGGATTGCTTGGAGTTCAGATCCACTCCACAGCAGTGAGCTTAGCCCCTCCTCCTCCTCCCATCAGTCAGTGCTTATGTAATACCTCCGAGGTTCTCGGTGTTGATGAGACCTCATATTTTTGTCTTGGGATTTTTCCGGGGCTTTTTTCACCCTTCAAAACTTGTATTTTTAGATTTTCTTAATTAACCAATGATTGTGTGTGTGTATATACATACATTTGTGTAAAAATTTAAGGGACCCAAACCCTAATCTTTATTATATACTTACAGCTCCATGCCCAGTAGATGGCACTAAATACCCTCTGAAGTTCATGATTCTAATTCCTCGCGGGCTCTGGCCATTTCTTCCACTGCCAGGGAAGGGGATGGTCTGTTCCTTACGCTAATGCTCTCATTTTTTCTATAATTTAGAAGTTTGTTAGACCTGTAGGGGTTTAAATTTTAATTTCCGATCATGGGCTGCAGAATTCTCCCCCCCTTCTTTCTCCTTGTCAATCAGAGTAATTTTATGGAGAGGATTGTTATTAGTCCCCTCTGAGTCATTCCCACCCACGAAGACCGAATGTGTGCAGAGCAGAACGGACAATCCCTTCCAGAAGCCGACCACCAAGCCTGTCTTCTGAGAGCACCAGCCTTGCAGATGCTAGTTGACCACTTAACCGTCGTGCCAACAGGGACTCCTAAGGGGAGGGCAGTAACCTTGAAATAGAACTTAGGTTAAGATCAAGACCTGAGAGTAAGGCAGAAAGAATAAAGAGTGGTGGTAAGTGATTATAATAAGATTTAGAGAAATATTACAAAACCAGAAAATCCAAAGTGTTCTGTATGTGTATTTCATTAGTGTTTCCCAAAGAACCAGCTCTTCGATTCAGTTAACTATCAAAATCAGAAAATGTGCTTCCCATTTATAAGGCCTGGTTTACTCTGTGTCAACCTACTTATTAATTCGGTTGAGTTTATTTCATTGTTGTGGATTTTTCAACTATGAAAAATGACAGGTTCTGAATTTTCACCTGTTTAGGGGGGGAAGAGACCTAAACTCAGATACATTTTAATAGGGATCACTTTATTAAACTTAAACAGGACAAAGGCAAATCCTCCAAATGAGAGACCATCAGTTCAAGGATATATAATGGTGTCCAAAGGATTCACAGCCACAAGGCTACTTAAACAGGATCTGGAAACAAAGGAAATTGTCACAAAATTATGATTGGTGGCTGACCAATTAATCCTGGTCCCAGACAGGACTATAGAAGTGGGAACTGGGATACATACACAGTTGCCGATGGGAAAGTTTACTGGATTGGTTCTGAGGGCCCTGATACCATCTAGGTTGGAGTCTTGACTCATACCTTGTTGACCTTAGGACCCCAATTTCCAAGTAGGGCAAGCCCAGGCAAGTTCCCGAGGGCCAGACTGCCCCTCCCTGGGCTGGCCTGGAGAGTCACTGCACACACACACTGCCTGAGGGCAAAGCTTTTCACCTCACTTGGTCCATGGTCAGAAATAATTCAATGGAGATGAATCTGTGTGGTGACTGGAAATAGATTTAGGCCTCCCACTGTAAACCGAAGCCTCCCACAAACCTGGTGCTCAGAATTGAAGTTTGAATACATGCCATAATTACATTTACACCTTTTCCTTGCTTTTTATCCTAGGGGTTATGAGTATTGGTATTTTGTGACTCAGCCTGGAAGCTGATTTCTTAACTGTCTGGTCTTAGTAGAACCAATAAGTAGAGAGGCACGTAGGTGTAGTTCTCCCTGGAGATGCCTGGACAGCTAAGAGTCACTCATGGGGGGGTGGGGGAGCTATTTCCTCATCTGCAAACTGTAGATAATTAACACGACTTACCTCGTGGGGTTAGAGATAATATAGATAAATCACCTGACATGTAGTTAGTGAGCTATTCTTATACTGGCAACAAACTAAACTTTAAGAAAATTCTCTGAAAGACAACATGCTCTACTCATTCTAGTTTCACATGTCTCAATACTACATTTTAAATTTGAGATGGCAGTATATTATCTAACTTGGGTCTCAAATAGCTTTTCAGATCAGAAACCTTGGTAGGTTCATGCAAGTTCTGAATATACTTTTGAGTTCTGTAAATGTAGCATCCTCTGAAGTTTGTCTATTGATACCATAGACCATTAAGGTAGCAGCAGGTTTGGTTGCTGGTATCATATCACACACCTACAAACACGTCTGAAAAAAGAGACCCTTGAATGGCTTCATTTAGAATTAACACACATTTAGAAATAACACACATGAAAAGTCCCATTCGGTCAAAGAATCTCGGGGTTCAACTTTATTTTGTTGGTACACGAACTTTTTAAGCCAACGTACGTGAGGGAGTGATTCATTATACCATCCGCTCCGGGAAGGAGAAGAAAAACTCCTCCGGAGAGGACACAACAGTTGCTGTATACCGCAGCCCTCTGGGGAGCAAGAACACAAAAACCGAGGGGCGAGCGTGATACCGAGGCGGGCTTTTTATTTTCCTCCAAGCTCCACAGACACGTGGCGCCGCCGGAGCCAGAGAGCCGTCGGCCGTCGCCAGGCTGCGGGCTTCGCTCCCTTCAGGGGGATTTGCGGCGGCGTCCTAGCTCACCTGAGTCCGGAAAGCCGGGACCTCTGGGCCGGAGCTCTGGCCCCGATCCAAGGTGGGCAGAGCGCCCTGGGGAGGCGCAGGGTGCGCCTCCCACTCGAGGGACCCCAGTGCGAGAAGTTTTCCCCAGGGCCGAGGCCCGGCAACAGGTCCGAGGCGGAGCCGGGCGAGGCCGGTGAATCAGCACCGCCCAGCGCCCGGCCGGCCTTCTACCCGATGCCAAACCCAGGCGGGATGGGCCCGGCTGCTTCCCGCCAGCCACTCAGGACTGTCCGGACTTGGGAAAAGGTGACATCATCGTAGTTGGGAGGTTTCCGAAGGTCCCACCAATAGAAACCAGGCGAAGTAAGCTTGCCAGCTGTAGCGCTTGGCCAATACTAGCAAAGCAAAAGGGGGCCTGGTTGTCGGTCTAGAACCAATGGGAAACGGGGAAGGAGCACGAGGCGGAGTTGCGAATCCCGTCTCCAATTAGGTGGAGGGGGTGGAGCCCAGGCCTTGTCAAGCGTGTCCAACCAGCGAAAGCAGCGGACTTTGCGGGGTGGAGCCAGGATGTCCTCTCCCAATAGGATAAGGACAGGGGCGGGGCGTTCACTGGGGTGTCCAATGAGGAACGCAGCCGAAGCGGGCCTGTCAAGAGAAGGGGCCGGGGGCGGGGGGATGGTGAGTCGGGATAAACACTCCGCGGCGGTGGTGGCTGCTGCTCAGCTCCTGTTCTGTCACGGTTTCGGCAGTGTCCTGCTCGCCGGCCTCCTCCCGCTTCCAGCGAGCGTGGTCACCGGACAGGCTCCCTCAGCTCTGCTCCACGGGGCCCACGGCGGGGCGCGGGTGTCCGGCGGCGGCGAGCCCGTGTGCAGTGGGGGTTAGTCCCGTGGCTCCGGCTCCCGGTGCAGAATGGCGACGGCGGTTCGGATGAACATCCAGTTGCTACTTGAGGCGGCGGACTACCTGGAGCGGCGGGAGAGAGGTGCACGGAGAACGGAGGGGTCCCGCCGAGTCGGGGCCGGGGCCCTGAGGGGCTGCTCCGCGGGTCGGGGCGCCCGGCCGCTCCGAGGGTTGTTGGCGGCTGGGGGCGGGGGGGCAGAGAGCGCGGCCACGAGCGATCCCAACCCCTCTAGCCTCCCCGCGCGGGCCGCGGGGGGCCACTGCGCCCCAAAGCAATGAATGGGGTGGGAAGGACCCCCCACCCCCGGGCGTCCCGAGCTCCGCTCCACCACCACCACCCCCCACCCTGGCGAGTGGGGTGCTCGGCCCCCTCCGTCAGCCTCCCGGCTCCCTTCAGCTGGGCTCGCCCGGCCAGCCCCTTGAAGGGGAGGAGCGCCTCTCGCCCCCCAGCGCCCCGCGTCGGTCCCGCACCTTCGCCGCCGGAGGCAGGTCCCATTGGCACCAACCTGCTGGACGCTGAGCGGGGTCCGGGCTCGGCGAGCCCATCTCCACAATGCCCCTCTGAGCTGAGGGTTTGTTTGCACACCATTTCAACCAAACACCACCACCACAACAAATCCCTCCCCCCTCCCCCTTAAATCCATATTCGCAGAATTCCACCTTGCTGTATTCAATCCTTTCCACAATATTCTCTTAAAGGGGGGTGAAAAAAATACGGAGAGAGGAAACACTATCATGGGGAAGAGGGAATATTGAGTGTTCTGGGCTCGTTCATTAACTGGACCCTCCGTTTTCCTAGAAGCCGAACATGGCTATGCATCCATGTTACCATACAATAGCAAGGACAGAGACGCCTTCAAACGGAGGAGCAAATCCAAGAAGACGAACAGCAGCAGCAGGTAATTTGGTAAATCTTGCCCTTTCCCTTGTAGATTGTACTGTAGGTGACAGGAACTGCCGCATGTAAGTTGCCTGTTGTGGTGATCCTACCCCTGTGAGGGCCTTCTGTGGGGATCCGAATTCAGCCATGGTGCACACTTGCTCTTAAACCGTCGCAGGAAGCCAGCCCTCCGGTTTGGATTGAGAGCGAGGAAGGAGAAATGGAAATGTTTCACATTTCTTTCTGGGCAGTGGTTTTGTTTTTCATTCTGCCTGTTCCCTTTTGGAACAAACATCTGTGGAAGCTTCAAGTGGGATTAGCAGCCCTGACCGCATTCTGTCTTCAGAAGTTGGAGATTCAGGGCAAGTTTTCTGTCATTGAAGGAAGCCTCATATGATCAATGTTTTACTCTTTCGCAGTGAACACTAGAAAACAGGTGAAGAGATCTGACTTGTCCCCCCTGATAGGCTTTCATATTTGACATGTTAATTCAATTCCGTGCTTTGTTTGATAATCTAATGGGTTGCATCTATTTATAATGGCAATGAGGAATTCTTGAAATTACCCCAAAACTTACCTGTTTGGTGACAGAGGAAGCTGAAATATTAAAGTGTTACTGTGCCACAACCCTTTTATGGAAGCCTTATAAATTGCCTGTGAATCTCACTGGAAAGTACTTGGTTAATGGTCAGTGAAATCACATATTAAAGTCCTAAGAATAGTTCCTGACACATTAGTGCCCCGACAACGCTACTGCCCTCTCTTACCCTCTTTTATCCTTACATTTTTAGTTGACTAGGAAATCTGCCTTATTGCATCCTTTCAATTATCCCTTTCAAGCCGGTGAATTAAAAGCATTCACTTTTCTCATCGTTGATTTAGAACCTCCTCCTCCTCCATCCCTCCCCAGTTAATACATCTCTGTGTCTGAGTAGCCTCTGTGGTGAAAAGCCAGAACATTCCCACTTACACCTGAAACTCTCTTATTCCTGCTGCCTCTTCTGTCCTTAGCTCACCCCCATTGTCATCATGTTGTTAGTGGAACATAGGACGTGTGCAGCACACATCTGCTCTTAAGTAAGAAAGCGCACACAGGATGAGCCTGGTCGTTTTTCCTTGCCCTCCTATCATCAGCAATACCTGAAAGTAGCTCATAGTTGTGCGCATGGGTACTAAGCCCTTCACTACAACTGTGACTACTGACTTGGATTATAAAATGGTATAAAAACAAGTTGTGTTACTTTTTGTGACCGTATTCATTTTCAGCTTTTTGTTTGGGGGAATGAACAGCCTGAGAGGCCCTGGGTTTATTTTTCTGGAAAAGTAGAGTTTGCTGTGTTATTATTGCCCACTTATGGTATGGGAGGAGTCCTGCATGTTCATAGTCCAGGTTTACTGCCTTTAACATTTTGTTGTTCCTGGGTTTTACAGGAATGTTGTGGCAGAGTGTAGGAGGATGGGGAGTCTCCATTGAGGAGAAGGTCTTGATCCCAGATTAGGGGGGAAAAGGCTAATAGAGAGTTTCAAGCCAAAATATGAGTTCCTCCTTTCCTTTTCTTTCCCTCTCTCCTTTTTCTTCTTTCCAGTAATCAGTATGATTCCTGAGAGATGGCCATAACTCCTGATGCCAAAAGCACCAGTCTCACTCTGTTAATAAACCTGGTTTGCTTTTCGGGATTAGAGTGTTTCCAGGGAAACAATCTCAGTTGTTCAATTCTTGACTAATAATTAATGTGACATCTTCAATGGTGCAAGGATCTCTGAGAGAACATGGTTAAAGCAGGAGATGGCCCCCTTGCAAGCCAATGCAGCAAAAGCAGGTGTTAAGGTTGAATGTGATCGCTTCCTTGGCAACCTGTCTGGAGTGACCCTTACCTGGGCAGTCAGACATCTCACCGGAGAATGCAGCTTGGCTGTGGGATGGTTGGAGGACAAGGGAGCGGTCGCTGCCAGTTTACAGAGCCACTGAATTGCCGCTTCTTCTTAATTCAGGTTGAATTGTGGTGCACTTTGCGTGTAGAATCTGGGGAGTGTTTTTCCTTGGGCAACCCAAACTAAAGATTTAACCAAATATCAAGCTTCATGGGGACAGAAAATGCAGATGTTAATCAAGTTCCACTAGTAGCTGACTTGAAAAACAAAAATAAGGAAATTATGAATATTAATTGTTTGGGGATCATCAGAAAACTAACTGGTAGGCTATAGGCATATGCATGTGGAATCCCTCTCACCCCCCATCCCCCTATTGATTTTGAAAGTCCATTACTCATTACTTAGATGCTATTCAGAGCTATTAAAAGTGTGATCTGCTAACTAAGTAAAACAGACATTATCACTCCTGTGAAAGGGGAAGTTCAAGGCTTGCTAACCAGTTCTAAGACCGGGGTTACAGAGCTGACTGACAGGGAGTCTTTCTGAACCCGAGGGCTGTTCCCCTTTTGCAGGTATTGTGTAGTATAGTGCAGTTACCTTTTTGTTAGAATATTTGCCTTTATTATCAGAGATTATACTTCCATTATCAGTGAATCCAGGATTATCCAATCTTTTCAATAATCACGTGGAAAATAGTTGGCTCACAAAATAAATACGTGTTCTTCTAAGGTCTTGTTTCCCAAAGTGGGTGGTTCCACCCTGAGAGGTGCTGGATGACTGGGCGGGACTGCGCGCGAGCAGACACCGACATTTTATCCTGGAGTATGAGCTGTAGTACAAAAAGTTTTCATTGCCAAGGGGGCTCCGAGTAATTCTTCCCCACGCACTCCCGAAAAGGGGCCAGTAGACTACATCAGTGTGGGGCCCTCTCCTCTAATTAAAAATATGTGTGTTTACTCATCAACAGAGGGTAGCAGGCGGTTTCTGAACTGACTCTTCTTGAAAGGTCTGCTTTTTTACTAAAGATGCAGTTTCAAGAAACCAAATACTCTTCATTAACACACACACACACACACCCCTTGAAAAATCACCAGTTGTTCGATTTTCCTAATCACCAAGTAAGAGTGGTAGATTCCAGAACTCGGAGCAAAGTTTAGAAGCAGTGGTGCTTCCTTTGGAATTTGTTCAAAGGTTATCTTGGGAATATGTGTGTGTATGTGTATGTATGCTATGCATATGTGTGTGTATGTATGTATATATATATATATATATACACACACACATACATATGTGTATATATATATATACACACACACACATACATATACACATACATATATATATACATACATACACACACATATGTATGTAGTATATGTATTCTACGTTGTCATCTCTGTATATGTGTGTGTGTATGCTATGCATATGTGTGTATGTGTGTATATATATATACACATATGTATGTAGTATATGTATTCTATGTTGTCATTTCTGTTCCCAGAGACCACACTCCTTTCAATGTAGCCACCCTCCTCACTTCCTTCTCCCACTTTGTTCATCGGGGAAATCTTGACCAGCTGCTGTCATACACACGCATCCATTTAAAAAAAAACCTGTCAGACTTTGAACTTGTTATTTCCTGTGAAACCTAAACTGCTGGCCAGCTTCTTGTTAACTGCGGCATCCTGCTGGCCGTGGTAGGAAGTAAACCTTTAGGGCCATGTGACTGAAGAACACGGAGGAGGAGAAGTAGCCAGGTGAACCAGTGGAAAGCTTGTAAGCTAACCAAATTTAAGGCCTATAGATCCTTATTCCAGAAAAGCCAACATTCGAAAATCTAAAATGTTGTCATTCTTTTCTCGGTTACCTCACCCCCGGCCACCCCTGAAAAAGACTCGCTATGCTAAGGGCTTCTGGGAAAGATGGCTTAATGCTGAGTTAAAATGTTCCCATTTCAAGATCCTCCCCATACTACCAGCACCGCCACCCAACCCCTGGTGTGAGTGAACTTGGAGGTGGTGCCCCCCGCTCCCTGTGTGAATGGCTGAACATTCATGCAATAGTGTCCCTCCATGATTGTGTGAGAACTTTCCTTCTACACCCCATACGACACAGAATGCATGTGCTGAGCCAGGGAGTGAGCAGTTCTTTCTGTAGGAGCGGTCAAGGTTCAGCTCGTGTGATGCTGGGAGGTCACTCTTGCTCCCCAGGTTTGCTTCCAGCTGGTTTGGGAGGGGTGGTGTGAGGAAGGACACCAAAGTGGCTGCATTGACTGACTCCTTGGGGTTTTTATGGACGCCTGCCCATGAGTTCAAGGTCAGCTATAAACCTACTAATGATATGATTTCAGATCCTCCACAGCTTTCATCCAAGGCTCTCTAATCACGTTTACAGCTGGGACTTCATTGATCCACGCTTGTTCAGTAGCTGATTGGCAATTATGGTTATCCCCATGGCACAGAGGGGTTAAACTAGGACAGGGTGGTGGCCCAGAGTCTGGTTTCTCCCACCACACCAGTCAGCGGCAAAGCCCGGGCTTCGACTTTCCCCTCCAACTGCTGCTCCACCTAGTCATTACGTTGAGCTGAGCGGTGGAAACCCTTTCCTCAGGTCCCCTGGCAGCTGCTCGACAGGAGCATCCTTCCGGAGACTGGATGTGGGACCGTGGCTATTTTAGGGAACAGCAAGATTGAGGGAGAGGTTATTTCGCCGGTCTTAAACCATAGCCTATAGTTACACAACCTAGCATAAAATCGTAGTATGCTACACTTCAAGAAATGTGCGGGGCGAGGGTGAGGGGTGCCCCCCCCCTCCCCCGACTGTTCTGCCTTCAACTTTGTGGTCTTATATAACTCCAAGTCACATCGCAGCGTGCAGCTGTTTTTGTATAAATAGACCCTTTTTATTTCCTGTCTTAAAATGGATTCCTTTCCCTCTAGGGACTGCATGCCTCTCAGTTTGTTAATCTCCTGGAATACTATTTTAGGTGTTTACATTTATTTAACTCAATTGGATGAATTTCATCAGTAGAGTCCAGTGAGGGTTTCTCCCCGCCCCCCCTCTTTTTTCTCCCACCAGCTTTGGAAAGTAAGAATAATCATCAGTTGATGTTGAATTTATCTTCCAAGATGAGAATAAATCTTTGTCTTATTGTTTCCTCTTTCAGATCAACTCACAATGAAATGGAGAAGAATAGGTGAGTTGGGGGTTGGGGCAGAGGAAGGGGGGTAGGGAAGTTGATGCGTTCTCTGTTCATAAAGTTGACACTTGACTGCTCCCTTTCCCGCTAATACCCCTCCTTTAAGAGAACCCTCTAAACAGCCCTGTCCAGAAATCATTTCGTTCCAAAGACCACACCCTCAACTTTCATTCCCCAACCCACTCCTGACGAAGGTTGCTGTGAATGGCTGCTCTGCAGATCATAGGCAGGGTGTCCAAGAACAGGATTTGTGGTGGTTGTTTGTTTTTAATTACATGCTACTGGATACACCTGGCGGTATACCTTTCAAGTCTTACAGAGAGATGTGCAAGGCGCTTCCCAAAAAAGTTGACGGAAAAAAACGGAACTAAAAGATAATATATATACACGCATACAAACACGTATATACACAGAAATGGGTATGTGTACTTGCAGTTTACTTATAAGTGAGGACTCAAGTTCAAGTAAATGCATGTATGAGAGAAGTTGGAGGTGGCGACCACCCAGAGGTGGCCTGCCACCCTCATGGGCCTGGCCCCGGCGTGGGCGGGATCTCCCTCACCTGAGCTACCTCCTGCTGCCGAGCCAAGAGGGCGCAGGCTGCTGGTTCTCAACACCGGTTGCTCGTTAGAACCACTTGCAGAGCTTCTATTTGAACGTAGTTCTGAAAATGCCTTAAATTAACTATGTTGTGCACACATAAGTATTTTGGTGGTGGGTGGGGAGAGAACAAATGCCTATTTCTCTGTGTATAAAATAGCTTTTTCTTACTTCTCAGAGACCAAAGTAGGGAGAGTCCTGTAGTCAGCTCCTGCCTATCCGTCAGCCGGGTAGGACTATCTTTAGTTTGGAAACCATCCCTTTCTCCATAAATGTAACATTTTAGAGCACATCCCACGTATGTTATCTGTAAACACTCCCATTTCTGTATCGAGTAGATAAAAGACTGAAAAAAAAAAAAAAAACCCCCAGGGAGAGTAAATAAATTCCTTGTCCAAATGACACAAAAAAAAAAAAAAAAAGTAACTCGCTTGAACCCCGGAGGACAAAATTAATGATGACTCTTTGTGGCACTTTAAAAAGAAAACAAAACAAAATAAAAAGACCAAACAATGTCCAGATCTCGCCACAGCACTCCTGGTTTGGTTGGTTTGGATTGAGCCTGTGCGCCGGTTTTAAAAGCTCCCCAGATGATTCTCCTGTGCAGCCAGGGCTTACCAGCCACTGACTAAGCCTCATGCTGGTCTCTTAGCTGCCATCCATTTCAGGGACAGGCTCCCCACCCAGAAGGAGTGGTTTCGTGGTGCCTGGCGTGACCAAGACAAGGATGTGTACTGATGGCTCTCTAAGTGTGTGTGGTTGGTCCCTGCAAACCCTCTTTTGAAAAGGTAGTCGGAACGTCAGGATCTGAATGTTCATGTTTCCTCAGTCAAAGGGCAGACCCTGACCAGGCAGGAAGATGGTGGGACCGGGCCAGCATTTGACTTTCGCCACGGCAGTGTAGAGGTGGGTAGGTAGATAAATAGGATGGAAGGAGGTAGGTAAGTGATAGAGAGGGTGTCTCTGGCACAAGTGCTCCTCCCCTCTTCATCGCTCTGTAGTGTGGATCGCGTCTCTGGGCTGGAGCTCCCTTCCTGCTTTAGGAGTTTGTATATCTTGAACTTGAGAGGCATCTCTTTCTGCTCAAGGCAGAAAGGTGAGCCGGGCATGACTTTTCTCAAGTGTACATACTCCCCTATCTTCCTGCCTCTGACGTGAACTGGGTAAGCGGGGCTACCTACTGAAAAGCAGTTCTCCTCCTTGCTAATCATTTAAATAGGCATTATTATTACTTTTATGATTAGGTTTACTATAGCTGTGTGTCTTTCACCTCTGCAGGAATGCCAACAGAGCATGGATTTTATAGTTTATTTTAGCAATTTAGGGATATTTATTTTCTTGCCTACCATGGCTCAAGAACGTGTGCTTGTTGCTGGCGTGTTTAATGAGATTACCACCATCGAGCAGGTTCTGACTCAGAGTGACCCAACAGGACAGAGTAGAACTGCTCCGGAGGGTTTCTGAGGCAGCGAATCTTGGACTTGAAACACCGACCTAGCGATGGATAGCCCAGTGAATTTCCCTACTGCCCCATGAGTGCTCGTTCCTGAGTTCCGTCTTGGGGTATTAAGTGAACACAGTTTCTGTCAGAGAGAGATGCATAGTTTGTCTCGTGAGAAGGATGTAGAGGCTGTTTCAGTCAACACACTCCGTGCAATAGCAAGGGATGCTATGGGAGAAAAGACGCTAGGAAACGGGATTTGATGCCCCTTTTGAGCAAGATGCCTACACTTCAGTCTGCTTCTATGGACCAGTGAGCTTCTACTTGTGAAAGGGAGATTATCTCGTCTCCTAGTGATCCTTTCCTTTCGGTCTTCTCAGGCTTGGTAATTCCTTCTCCGGTCTTGAGAATATGAAACAGAAGAGAAGGAAGTAGGAACTCAGTTTACTTAATACAGCCAAGCACTGGTTGCTGCAATCCCGGGAAGGAGGAGGTTAACGTTGTGGGGCTCTGCACCCTCGTGTGTGTGTGTGTGTGTGTGTGTGTGCGCTTAAGAATTTAAGAGGAGCTGATATCAAGGGTTCAAGTAGAAAGAAACTGTTTTGAGAATGATGAGGGCAACAAATGCACAAATGTGCTTGACACAATGGATGTATGTATGGATTGGGATAAGAGTTGTACAAGCCCCCAATAAGGTGATTTTTTTAAAAGAAAAGAATTTGAGGTCAGGTGAACTGCTGCTTTTGCAGTCTCCCAGTTTTCAGTAGCTGAACCCCTACTAATGAATATTGCTTTGCCAAATGTGTATGCATGCTAGTCAGTCTTACCTAGCCACTTTAGACCATCCCCTCAAATAAAGTCACGGCTCCCCCTCCCCAGTTTGCTTGTTTGTTGAAGGAGGCAATTAGGAAAAGAACGTCTGAACAATGGAATTTTTTCTTCCTCTTTGGTTTTGCAGAGTGGATTCCACATGACTTAGGAGGTTTGGGGTCTGTTTTTAAACAATACTATCTGTGGTGCTTTAGATACGCCAAATATTGTAGCTGGTGTTGCGCTCAGCAACCACGAGTCCAACCTAAGTGTGTTCTTTCCAGCACAGCCGCCCTTCATGCGGGGATCCCGGCGTGGCAGAGGGTGAAAGAGTCCAGCATGGAGTTGGTAGGAGAGGTAGCTAGTGATGGTGGTTTCCATTTAGAGAAATACCTTGTTAAGCTCCTGAGTTGTCAGGTGCTGGGAACACACAGCGAAAGAGACCAGCCCCCCCTCCCCCTGGGAGGAGCTCTGTTTAACATCACTAGGAAGATTTGAAAAATACAAATCATGCTGAATAAATAAGTCATTATTTCAGCAACTAGCGAACACCAATGGAATGTTGGTATCTTTTTGGGGTGGGGAATCACTTGAATTTTTAAAATATTCTTTGATTTGGAAAAATGGGAAGTTCTGAGACCCTCAGAGAATATGAAAAGCACCTTCGTAGCTCCCCGAGAGGCGACCACTAGCACCGTGTGTGCTGCTGTTGGTGTGCTTGTCTGTTTACCAACATGAGATCACAAAGTAGTAACGTGTCACTCACTCCTTCCCAGGCGATGTCTTGAACATTTTTCAATGCCAGTCATAATTCTCCAGTACTCTCTTTGCTGCATAATCAGTCGCATCATCTCATATGCATGTACCATAACTCATTTACCCAAACTCCTATTTTATGTTCTTTCCAATGTTTTGCTGATAGAAACAGTGCTTCTTTACCTTATAGGTACACCCTCGTCCAGCCTCATCTTCTGTAGCTGTGGCTTTAAGGCTGTACACGTTTTTTATGTTTGGTTTGTTGTTTGCTGGTGCTGAATGGCCTATCACCAGACAGGTTGTAAGCAGTGTTTTACATCCTAAGTTGTTATTCGAACTGAGTACTTTTATGGATTTGATACATAACGTAGAAAAGACAACTTATTTTAATTTGCATCTCATTACTTGCGTGCTTGAGCAATCTTTATCTCTTTATTGACGGGTGTGTGTGTGTGTGTGTGTGTGCACGCGCAGTCTGTCACATAACCTTTGGCAGGTGTCTACTGAAGGGGTTTTTCTTGGGGGACAGATTGTAATATAAAGGATCCATCTGGAAGATGTGTCCCCGTCTATCAGATAATCGTTTATCGTTTACCTTTATGGAGTCAAGTCTCTGGCTGATTGAAGTTGCGGTCTCACGAATGCCTTGATTATGGCCTGGTCGGTTTCAGTACTTGTTCTTCGAGTCCACGTCCTGCCTGCTCTTCCCGTGGCAATGTAAAACAAAAGCAAAACCCGCACCCATTCCCGCCAAGTCAAATCCAACGCCCAGCGACCTTCTATGACAGAGTCCAACTGCCCCGTGGCGTTTACGAGGCCATAATCTTTACAGGGATGGACTGGCACGTGGAGCAAATGACCACCTGTCTCTCAGCGGCCCGAGCACGAAGCAGGGCGCCCGTGCCAGTAGACATGGTTTTACTTAGTGAGTTTCCATCCCGCACGTCAGTGTCTGCAAAAGCAAACCTCACCTCTTCCCTTCCTCCTCCTCCTTTTTCTTTTCGTCTTAATTTCACGAAGGCCTTAGCTATTTTCACCAGTTGATTTTTTCCAGAAGAACTTTATAATCATTTCACAAATATCCCACCCCCAAGCTCCTTTGGAATTTCCGAAAAAGTGCGCAATTCCAATGTACATAGCTCTCAAAAAGTGTATCTTGCCGTGTCAGATCTTGCCATCTGGATTGGTGTGCCATCAGTTCAGGCGTCTTTCCGCTCTAGTGTTTCCATGTAGGCCTTGCCCATTCCTGAAAGGATATTCCTGGGATTTTATATTACTTACAATTAGGCCCCTAGTGTACTTACTAATTCTCGTTGGGCTACAGAAAAGCCTTTCATTTTGTTATTGTTATATGTCCTTTATGAATTGTAATTCCACCGTGTCTTTTCTC